GGTAGAGGCTTGAAGGGACCGCTCGCATGGCGTGTATCCACGGGCGTCCTATGATGACGTTGTACGCCGTTTCTTGGTTCATCACGTGGAAAGTTGTTTCCAGCGTGACTCCTCCCGCTAAGACGGGCAGTGCTATTTCTCCGGACGTCCGTTCCACTGCATTGTTAAAACCGGTTAGTGTTATGCAGCGCGGTATTACCTTATCCTCGAGTCCCATTTGTATGAGGGCCCTTGGGTGGATAATACAGGCGCCACTTCCGTCATCGATCATGACTCTTTTAACATCTGTATCAGCGATACGTAAAGTGATAACTAAGGCATCATAATGAGGGAAAGACAAACCGTCGGCATCAGACTTATCGAAGGTGATACAATCTTCGAAGTCCTCATACCGTTCATGGGCGATGGTCCGCTTTAGTCTGTGTGTGGTGGCGAGCTTGACGTGATTGATCGCTGAGTCGTCGCCGCCTCCGACGATCATGTTTATCGTGCGCGCTGGGGAAGGTGGCTTCGGCGGCCCGTGGAGTTGTTCCCGTCCGCGTGCAAAGTTGATTTTTCCTTTGTCACTGAGTAGCTCCCTCAGGTATCCCTGGTTCAGCATCCTGACCACCTCTTGCCGTAGGCCGATGCAGTCTTCGGTTTTGTGTCCTCGTTCCTGATGGAACTCACATAGGGCGTTTGATTTCCTTGTGGCAGGGTCTGATTTCATCTTCTGCGGCCAATGCACCTTGGTGCCTAGCTTCTCCAGTGCGTACACTATCTCTAAAGGAGACACACAAAAGTTATGGGCAGTTAATAAAGGGGGCGTACCTCTTTCGTTTCGCAGTGGGGCGACGTGTCGCTGTAGTGCGTCTGTATGCCTTGGTGGCGGATGGGAGGATCTGGTGTATGGCTGGTGTCGATCTCTGTTGGAGCGGGGGAGTTGTTCCCGTCGTCCTTCGTTCCGTCGATCTCTCCTTGTTTCTGAGTGTATCGCTTTTAGCCGTTGGGTCGGCCCATTAAGATCATCCTCGTCCGCTTGTACCTCGGCGCAATAGGCGTTGTGGATTTCCTCCCATGTGGTAGGGGGATATTTCATGAGGTGGCTCAGCAGCTTCTTGGTTGCCCTCGAACCATCTCTGCTTAGCCCGTTCTGGAAAGCGGCGACTGCCATACCTTCCGATACGTTTGGTAGACTCATCCTTACCCTGTTAAACCTTGCCAGGAAGTCCCTGAGTCCTTCTCCTGCGTTTTGCCTGATGGCGAAGATGTCGTTGACCCTGGCCTCCGCTTTCTTCGCGCCTGCATGGGCTGTGACGAATTTATCCGCCATTTCCTCGAACGTTGATATTGCCTTAGCCGGTAGCTGAGAGTACCATGTTAAGGCCCCTCCTGTCAACGTCTCACCAAACTTCTTCAGCAGTACCGACGGTACCTGTTCTTTCGATAGGTCGTTGCCCTTCACGGCGGTGACGTAGTGGATCAGATGATCCTCGGGATCTGTGGTTCCGTCGTATACCCTTAAGCAGGGCGGCATCTTGAAGGTTTTTGGGGTGGAGTGAGGAGCAGCTTCTTCGGTGTATGGTTGTTCAACGAACCTTCCCACGTCGCGTTTTGGTAGCAACTTGGGAGCACCGGGGATCTTGTCGACCCTCTCCTGATGTTCCTTCATCTGACCACGGAGCGCCTTGTTTTCATTTTCCATTTCTTCCATCTTCTTTAGGATGGCTGTTAGCGTGCCATCGTTAGTCTGTGTCTCGATGGGTCTGTTATTTACTAGTGTAGCTTCCGGTTCGCCCACGGCAGCAGTGGTACCTACCGTTGGTGTACATACCATGTTATTTTGCGGCGACCTCTCAACCAAGCCACTTAGAGTGCTTGTTAGCCATCTTTCCAGTAGCTCTTTGACTGCTGAGGGTGCTTCCGTAGCCGCAGATGTGGAAGCTCCTTTTTCGTGCAAGATCGTCAGGCCTTCGGATGGGGAAGGTGAGATCTCTGCACCTGGTGTGATGCTAGGGGTTGCATTCAGGATGCCACCGTCACTGACCTCGTTGAGAGGGCCCAGGAGATTGGTAGTGACACCCAATATGGCTTTCGATCTTGTGCTATTTTCTGCCATTTTTCTGTTTTTGTGTAGTGTAGAGAGTGGTAGTTGGTTGATCTCTAGGTGGATACTATGATTTTGATTCTCGAAATCCCCACAGACGGCGCCAAATTGTTTGGCTCAAAAGTTAACGATATACTTTGTAAGCGATAAAACAATCAAAAATAGAAGAGGGGTAAATCGTAATCAAATATAATAAGCCTAGAGATGCAAAGATGGTAATATTGTTGTAGATCTAATATTGCAAAGTAACAATGTTTACCAATAAGATATCTTCGTTAGAAGTAGAGATATAGAGAGAGAAAGCCAGATAAATGAGAGAGTTGTATTAGATCAGATGCCCTTTTTACAATGTGGAAGTCTCCTTTATATAATAGGAGACCTTCCTAGAAAGAATCAAAAAGTTACAAAAATAGGTAACGTCTCCCTAGCGTAGACGCTGAGTTCGAAACGATGTCACTTTTATCCTTACGGCCGAGTCGTACCCGCTACGTTGGTTGGCGTACACTCATTGGGCGTACCCACTGGCGTAATTTGACCCTATAAAAGCTAGTTTGACTCGATACGGAGTTTAAGCAAAAAGAAGAAGACTTTTGAAATTTGTGGTCTTAAAAGCTTAAGGGGTAAAAAGTTTGGGGGCCATGACATTTGTGTGGCTATAAAAGCTTCTCATTAAGGGTAAATGGGTAAAATGAAAAAGTTTAAAGTTGAATTATTTCTAAATTTAGAAATGTGTCATTTGATTTGGAACAGACTAAAAAGAAAAGTATCTCATCTAATATGAAACAGAGGGAGTATAGTTTTGGTAATTAAAATATTAGAACAAAAAGGGTATATGCATATTCAATAAAAATAAAATGGCATAGAATAAAAGAATAAAAGAAAGACATTCTTGTCCATTTTATAAGAGAGAGAGAGAGAGTATGTGTATGTGGGTTGGGGGGGTTGGGGGGTTGGGGTTGGGGGGGGGGAGACTTTGATCTAGTTGAAAAAGTTTAGGGGGTGGGGATATGGATATCTATGGTTTCTATATCCAGGTTAAGGTGGGTCTGATTTTTTTTTCCAGAGAATTAATCTGATACCACTTTAAGTAATATTTTAATTTAAATGGTAAAAACATCTAAAAGTGAAAATAACTAAAAATTTAAAGCAAAGTATAAAATTAAAATTAAAGGCAGATCCAGGATTTAATGTTCATGGGTTCCTACAATGATCTCGAGTAAATTTTCTATAGTAACTGGGTTCACATTCAAACGTTTATAGATATTTAGTAAATTTTTCGAACACATTTACACAGTTTGGATAAAATCTACTTGGTGTGAACCCGTGGGTAGGGGTGTTCATGGTTCGGTTTGGATCGGTTTTTCCCTAAAAAGCAACCAAACCAAGTAAGTCGATTTTTCAAATATTAGAACCAAACCAAACCAATTAAGTCGTTTTTCTCGATTCGGTTTATGTCGGTTTTTCGGTTTTTTCGGTTATTTATCGGTTTTTTCTTAAATATAAGACATACACTACCAAACACATATTCCGGCGGCCACATTTTCAATGTAACACTATCAAATCAATTGCCCTTTGAGAAATCTATTATTTACCAAGATATATTGATGATAATTGAATCAAATAGTGATGAATAATTTAAGGACTCAATTAAAAATATGTTATTTTTAACCCGAAATGGATTCTTACACTAAACAAAAGAAAACTACCAATCAAACTAGAATGTCAAGGTAAAGAACTATATTAAAAGTGCAAACTATTAACATTTACCATAAACTTTTTGAAACTTTGTATAACAATATATATATTTATAGGTGTAATAATAAATTTGAAATAGCTACTCCTATAGTCGGTTTGGTTCGGTTTTTTTTCTGATTAAAACCAAAACCAAACCAAATTTGATCGGTTTTTAAAATTCAAAACCAAAACCAAACCAAATCAAAAAGTATCGGTTTTTTTGGTCGGTTTGGTTTGGTTTTCGGTTTGATTCGGTTTTTCGGGTTTTCATGAACACCCTTACCCGTGGGTGGGGAGGTGGATCCCCCCTGATTAAAATATTTCTTTTTGAAAATTTGAAAAGAAAAAAGATTTTAAAAGAAAAAAAAAAAAAGCGATAGGATAGTGCCCGTTTCTACAAGGAATAGTGTGATCAAAGCAACGTGAAAAAATGCATTTGCCTCATACACGCACCAATTAATAAAAACATTGCATGTATTATTCTTTGTACATAATATTAGGACTTAAGCATAAGTAATAAACATGTATGTTGCTCAAGATGCAATACCAAAACTTAAGTAAAATATTTTAATTATTCACTTTCATGTTGTGTGTTAGTGTCTGGGGCGGATTTACAGAAAAAATTATAGGGCACGTGAATCCATGCTCTTTACGCAAAGTTAGATATTGTACATATTTTCTAAAATTGATATAATATTAACTGTTGGCACATATGTTCCAAGAAGGTTGAATGATACACTTGGTTGAAGGTTGAGTTACATTTATCAAGAAGGATTGATAGGGATCAATTCCAATTTAATATATTTTTTTCTCCTTTTTTTTAGTAGTGTACCTATGTAGTAAAAATCCTAGATCCGCCTCTGGTGGTTAGTGTGTATGTTGGGCAGATGCAAAACTAAAAGTGGAGAATATCATTTAATTTAATTAAAGCTTTAAGATATTGCCATTTAAGCTTACTTTCTTGTTAGTTGAATGTAATACTAAAACGGCAAAAAGATCACGCCAAAATAAATCAATCCGCATATATCTATTTTATGTCTCATTCTTTGTAAGTTGAGCCAAAAAGTCTTCTCTTCACATGTATGCACAAGGCTAGGCGAATGTTGCGTTTGTTTACATAATAATTATCCGTAATTTACGGCCCAATACCAAAGACTCTTCTGCTTGATTACACCAAAAATTAATAAATAATAAAATATGGTATATTAATAAAAGTAATTATTCTGACAACAAATGGTAGCAGTAAACATACTACACTGTACATACATCATCTTCTAACTAATAGATAGTTCTCTTAGAACAAGAATTCTAGGAACCAATAAGATAGAAAAAATAATAACAAGTCCTAATTTCTACTAATGGTACATACTAAGGTTTTTAAAGAAAGAAACAACTCAGAGAATTGGCAGCATAGTGCAGAAAGCATCTCGTCAGTGTTCACGCAGGATCCTAGAAAGGGCCGCACGTCAAGGGCGTGACATAGACAGTCTACTCTAATACAAGCATTAGTGGTTGCTTTTACGACTCGAACCCAAGGGTATGATGTAGACAACCTACCTTAATGCAAGTATTAGTGGTTGCTTCCACGGCTCGAACCAATGATCTATAGGTCACACATAGATAACATTACGGTTGCTCCGACGCTCCCCTTCGAAAAACAGATTCGAGATTGGGGAGTTAAAATTAGCATAATGGTAAGACAATTACTGATGAGAAGACACTACTGAGCAAAGTTCAATGGAACCATAATCAAGTAATTCTTCAATCATTTGTTCAATGTGGTCATCTTCAAGTGTACTAATAAATTGTGGTGTGTGCTCTACAGCTTCAACTTTCATCTCTCCCCAATTAAACCCTGCTGCTGTTTCTTGTTGCTGTGCTAAAAATGTTGGCTTTGACATCAACATTTGTGGTTTTGTTTCATAGGCAACATGATTTCCAACATTGGCTACTGCTGTCTGAGCATATGAAGTTTGAATTTTTCGAGGTTGTTGTTCTTGTGCTGAGTTTTTTGCCATTTGAAGTGAAGCCATGTAACATTTATGTAATTTGGCTGTTAAAGTTGCTGAAAGAAGTTTTGAGGAAGATGTTTGCGGCATGTTTGGGTTGTAAGGGAAATTAGTTCTTGCTCTTGGACCACACATTAGTCTTGCTGCTTCATCATATGCTCTTGCTGCATCTTCTGCTGTCTCAAATGTCCCTAACCAAATTCTTGTTTTCCTGCAAAACATAACAACAAAAAAACAGAGCATTTTCTTGTTTAGCCTTAAAAACAGAGCAATTCCACACCTTTAAATGACGGAATATATATTTGAATTAATTGGTACTTACAGTAATGGATGACGGATTTCAGATACCCAAGAACCCCAGTGTCTTTGGCGAACACCTCTGTATCGTTGTTGTGGTCTCGCCATTGATGAATGCTAATGCAAGCTGAAGTTGTCCTTTACGTGTTTGTGAAAATGCCTGAATGAGAAAAAAAGGAAAACTTGGAAATGATTTTGGGATTGTGAGGGAGGGAGAATGTGGAGGGGATTGAGGGGGTTTTTGTAGTTGCATTTTCTTGAGAGAAACATTCAGTGAAATGGTCTGGCAACCAAATTAGACAAATGGACCCCACAAAAACTTGAGGAATCTTAGATCTTCTTTGGTTTTTTCTTTATCTCATTAGTAGTTACCAGTTGGCTTATTGGAACTGACATAATTAATAAATCAACTAATATGTGAAAGAAATAATTTTTTTAGTCAAAGAGTGACCAAATTCAGCCCCCCATTACTATAACAATTACTTTTGTTGCACAAAAAATTCTCTATTATGTATTCTTATTTTATTGGTTTCAATGTTCCGCATAATTTTAAATGCATAACCTCATAGATACTTCATGTGACTGGAAATCATGATTCAATCGAGGTATACATTGCCAAATAAAGTATTGTTCATAATCCAAATGAAAATTGAATTTACTAGTCCAAGTATATTTGTCTTTATATGGCAATATATTATCCAGATCAGGGTAAATCAAGGGGATAACATAACATACCGTGGTTTAGCTTCTCTTGTTTTTTTTTTGTGGCCAATCAAATGGTTTTGCTTTGATTATGTCAAAAAAAACACAAAAATGGTTTTAATATACTCGTCCTGCACATGAAACAGCTCAAAAATTTATTATGTGATGAGTTTCCATCAATGATAACTTGATTACTTATTTTCAAATGTTGAATAATTCGCATAATAGTTTCATTTTAGGCTGCACGATTTTAACCTATGATTGTGAAATGCGATAAAAAAGGAAAAGCAAATAATTAAGAGACATGGCCATTATTTGCAACCTATATGATATATGATTAGTAAGTCAAAGGTATGGCCAAGAATCTTAGACCATCATAATTAGAGTGAAGATACAAAACATTTACTGACTATTGTTTTACTATTGTTGGATCAAACCATTTTTTTTTTTGGTTTTTTACCCGGTGTTCGGTACTCGTATTGGGGCGGACTATATCTGAATTCGTACCGTGTAGGGTTCCATTCGGGGGAGGGGAGGGGGGAACGCTCCATACCCAAGGCTCGAATTCGAGACCTCTGGTTGAGGAAAGAGCAACCTCATCCATCGCACCACATCCTTTGGTGGGGTATCAAACCATATACTGTAGCATATCACCTATTTTCCGAAACAATGTCTTGTTACATATTTTGAAATTTATAACAAGGGTAATTCTGTTGTTATCATTCTATAAATAGATTTTTGGATCTTTCAAAGAATAATAAATAAATAAAAGGAAAAGGAAAAGGAAGAATGGTATGCCATGAATCTTTCACATTCAAGAAAATGAGTGGCATATGGGGCTAGCTAGCTATTTATTATAGTAATGATCTAAATTGTGATGGCAAGTGACTAAGGATTTTTTGTTTACATGCAAAATGCTGCACATTGCTTCCATCATGGGTTCCTAAATTAGGAAACACAGCCATATGCCAGGGTGCTTGGGAAAGGTACAACTTAATGTGTTAAGTCTCATATGCATAAATATATTTTGGAGGACCCATACCCCTTGTCACACTAACCATACCCCACCCCCCACATGCTTTGAGTTCCATGGCATGGCACCCTCCATGTTTCTAGTTTCCACAACATTTTATAATTTTATTCTTCTTCGTCTTGCTTGACTCGAATAAAATTGTGCTCAATTTCATATATGATAATTCCGCCAAGATCTCATCGTTAGTTGGGGGAAGAATTCGTCCGAATCGATCTTTTCGAGTAACGTATTGAGAGAGAATTTTACGTATATTAAAAATTTACTAAATAATTACAAAATTCACATTTAGTAAATCAAACAACTATAATAGAATCTCAAAATTAAACTCATAATATTTAAATCCTGATTCGTCTTTGGTAAGGGATGTCAATTGGTAAATAACAAGGGTCAAGCCAACTAGTATTACGTTATTTTCACGAAGGACAATGACTATTCCAAAACTCTTACTGTACGAGTGATGAAATGATACATAACAACATATATATTTCGCGATGATTAGGGGACAATGACTATTCCAAAACTCTTACTGTACGAGTGATGAAATGATACATAACAACATAGATATTTCGCGAAGACTAGGGGACAATTGATGATGATATGGACAATTAAACCACCTCAAAAAGGACTTTCGCCTTGTTAAATGCTTATTCTTACTGCATGTTTGCATATTAAATCCAATGATTTAATTATAATAGTTAAAAATTAAAGTGAGAATGCATATCACTTAACCATAACTAAGTGATAAAATGTGTAAACTTCAAAATCAAAGGAATAAATCATATAGTTATAATTAAAGTAAAAATGCATACTATTATTTATTAGTTTCGTGCAAATATATGAAGGGAATAAAGTTTCAGATTTTGGCGCTCATATGAGTCAATATTTAGTTGCATTTTAAACAAAGGGAAGTCATTTGTCTCTTAATTAAGCGGATTGAGAGATCTCTGAAATTATATGTTTACTACGTTAAAAATTGTGTAATTACATTAAAATCCAATTCTAAAGTAACTCTACAAGCATGCTGTAAATTCAACGTTTATCCTTTTCTGAGCTAATCCAACACTTATTCTCTGACGGGTGAGTAATTTACTAATTTATGAGAAATTTTATCCACTCCTTTTTTCTTTTCATTTTTGGATCATTTTAGGTTTATCACTCAGTGTAGATACACGTGAACAAAGATGAGTTTTGAAGGGCAAATGAAATGAATGATTGTAGTCAGCGTATGTTTTTCTGACCAATTTGTTTCCTTATATCATAACGCAATCCAAAAGGGGCCATTCAAAATAGAATTTATTTAATGCCTATAATATGTTCCATCTTTATTTTGTTCTTATTCCTTCAATCAATATGATCAACAATTTTTTTTTTTTTAATTTGGTTTCCCGCTCTGTGTTCGGTACCCACATTGGGGCCCGACTAAATCCGAATTCGCGCCGGAAAATCTCACGCTGGGGGGTAAAGCGCTCCCTAACAAAGGCGATAACATACCCAGAGACTCGAACCCGAAACCTCTGGTCGAGGATGACAATAAATTTACTACACCATCTCTCTACACATGCATATATATATTTGGTTGTTTCTTAATTCGTTGAATATTGTCTTTTTGACAACTGCAACATGCAGTAGTGTTTCTCCCACATGCCTTAGTTCCTTAGCTTTTTTGTTTGCGTAGTGCATTTCGCTACGGTCCATTTTCATGTGCAACTTTGCTTTAGTAATCTCTATTTATAATATTATTTGGCTGCGACAATTTCCCAATTCATACAAATAATCCAACATCAAATAAATTGATGATACTTTGTTGATTTTTCCTTTACCCGTCACTTGATTCTCATCATTTGGTGAACTTAGCTTGTCAATTTTAAAACTCGTCTAACCAATCAAAAAACCATAGGAAAATCTGATTTAACTAAACAACATTGAGTTAGTCGAGAGAACACTATGTTTATATACATTAAGAGGCGGTCCTACCTTGCCGTTTGAGGGATCACGGGACCCCGTTAGTTTCCGCAGAAATCAGATTAATATATCTTATATATATTTATAAATACAACTGAAACCCCTTAAATAATTTACTTGTGCCGCAAGCACAAAAGTTTGATGGGAGGAGTGGTTGAGTGGAGTGTTTAAGTTGATGTGGGTTCGAAACTCATGTTCAGCTTTTTCTCCTTCGTTCTATTTTACTTATTTGAATTCAACATATATAATTTAAATTAATAGCAAACTATTTTTTTTTAAAAAATCTTTTCACTAAAATTCAATTTTAGTTTAGTACTAGCACATAATGGTCAACTTAATTAATTTTATTCTTTTTTTTAAATCTCACTCTTCAAATCAAAAACCTCAAATTGCAACTTATTGCTCTACAAATAAAAAAAATGTAAATCATTTCTGTCACGACCTTCTTCGATAAAGTAGTGGGCATCGTCAACTCTAACTTCATGATGGCAACTGAGAGTTTGAGACTCTTCTTCAATTCCTTGACTAGTAACACATCCTTAATCTTGATTTTTCTGTGTAAGTTTTTGATAATTTTAAAGTTTGAACACTCTTTTGATCATTGACTCCTTTTATATTTGAGAAAAGACTAGAAATTTTGAAGTTTGAAATAGGCTTAATTCAAACACCTTTCCTTCTTGTAGCATCAATTTTGCGAAAAAATCTCTCTATCTGTTCGGTGCTTTTTCTCTCTCTCGCTATCTTTTTTTAATACTTAGATGATAAGTTATTGATCATAATTAATAAGTTTTTTATGAGTTGCACGCCGATTTTTATCGCTAGTAAATAATATCTAGTTGCACGCCGAATTTTATCGCTAATAATTAGATATAGTGGTGTCCCCGTCACGCTCAAATTCTGGGTCCGCCTCTGTATACATTCCCATTATTTTAAAAGTTGCTTAGACAACCAAGTAATAATGAATTAGTTCAATCAAGTTACAGAACATGACCCAATGAAAAAGTTAAAATTTATATATAGTTCAAGTAAAAACTTAATTAGTCTTTCAGTTGTTGCATTCGAGTCAACTCGAAATCTCGAATGTACAATTGTGGTGTTGTTACTCGAGTTAAGGAGAACTCGGAGGAGCATATTCTTTCTTTATCGCCTCCAAATAATTTGTTTAAAATTGTATTAAATTTTGATTGTTTTTGTTCATTTTCTTTTTTTAATATAAATGACTTTATCTTAATCAATCTAAGCAACTTGTTATATTTTAGAATTACCTTAGCGGATATGTACACGTGGCCTGAAAATCTTTGATTCTTGTGAATGAGTTCATTCAAATTATCTAAAGGAAAGAAAAGATAAAGGAGAAAAATAACTTCTTGTTGTAGAAATTTGTGAATTGGATTTTTTGGTTTACAGCTAATTAATAATCAATAGACCGTTATGCTAAGGGAAAAATATGGAGTCAAAATCAAAAAGATAAATTGTGAATTAAGAAGTGGGACCACTTGCTCTCAAACGCGTGAACGTGGGCCCTCATATTACATTTGCCACGAAAATAACATGGGTGATGAAGCTTTTTATTTAAAAAAAAAGAAAAAAAAAAGAATGAAGTAC